TTCAAGAAGAACCCCCGGCGGGTGTTGAGGCCAGCGGGTGCGGGGGGGTTTGTGTGCTGACATGGCAAGGGGTGGGTGGCTGCTGTTCTCTGGGCTGTGGCAGGATTTTGGTGTGGACGGGAGAGGCTGGGGCAGCCCCTTGCTTGAGGGAGTTCTGCTAGACCTGCACTATGCCATTGCCTCCTGCCTCACCACTTCTACTGCAGACTACACCAAGTCAGTGATCGACCTGCGCCCGGAGGACTTTGTGGGGGAAAGCAGCTCTTTGGGGGACAGGAGCAAGTCAGTCCCCGGCCTCAACACAGAGCTGGTGAGCCCCTCGGCACGCCGTGGAGCTGGCTGCCCAGCCGGCCGTGCCCTGCTGCTCCCCACGCAGCAGGCTTGCCTTTCTCTGTGCAGGAGGAGGAGGAGGAGGACATCGATAACCTGGTGGAGATCCATCGCCAGAGGGTGGCCCGGGGCAGCATGCGCAGCGGCACCTCCTCGGTAGGTCCGCGTGGCGTGGCCGTGCTCTGTCCTGTGGCAGTGCTGACAGGCTGGGTGAGAGGGAGGCAGGGTGGGCAGCTCCTGGGGCACACAAACACGACTTCAGGGTGTGAGGGCTTCTTCCCCTTGAAGGGAATCCAAACGCTGAGACTTAGCTGTCTTCCAGGGAGCCTGCGTGCGGGTGGGAGGTGCTCAGTGGCCATCCCCAGCCCCGGAGGGGTGAGAGGGGCTGTGCAGAGGAGGCACAGGGAGCAGCCTTGCTGAGAATGAAGAGCGATTGTCAAGTGATGTTGCCCTGGCTGATGTTGCCTCTTGTGTCTTCCAGAGTACCCTGGGGAGCATGGTCAGCATTTACAGCGAGGCCGGTGACTTCGGCAACGTTGCAGTCACTGGGGGCATCTCCTTCTCCCTGAGCTACGAGCAGAAGACTCAGACCCTGTTCATTCACGTGAAGGAGTGTCGCCAGCTGGCCTACGGGGACGAGGGCAAGAAGCGCTCCAACCCGTGAGAGCTGGGGCCATGGCTGCTGGCTCCGCTGCTGGGGCTCAGCTGGGTTGTGGGTGCCCACCAGGGATGGGAGCTGCAAGCGGGGGGATCTGGGTGAGGCAGGACATCTAGGTTTGCCCTGGCGGGCTAGTTGTGGGGGGACCTTGAAGTGCTGGCTGCTCCCTCCCCTCAGGTACGTGAAGACCTACCTCCTGCCCGACAAATCCCGGCAAGGGAAGCGCAAGACGACCATCAAGCGCAACACCGTCAACCCCTTGTACAACGAGCTGCTGAAGGTGTGTGGGCATGGCCTGGGGTGCAGCCTGCTCCCTGCTGCAGGGCCAGGCAGGCACTCGGCCCTGGGGATGCTGCTGGAGCAAACCAAAGTGGGCTCCAAGCACTGAGGAGGGGGCTCTGCAGAGGACTCATGTCCCGACACTGTACCCTGGAAGCCGGAAAAACCTCCTCGCAGGCTGGGTCGCTGCTCTGACGTGGCTGTGGTGTCAAGCCCTGGGTGCCGTGATAGGGTGGAGGCAGAGCTGCGGGTGTGAATGTGTGTCACAGGCTCTGTTTGTGGTTGCTGGGGCCTCCTGCTTACCCTGGACATTGCTTTCCATGGAGAGGACTCCTGGGCCATGGCAGTCAGGCTGCAGTAGTCCCACCTCCCACAGGGAAGGCAACACAGCTGCAGAAGCAGAGATAAGGTGGTTGTGGGCCCCAAGGCAGGACTTGGCACTGCCCTTTGAGGTCCCTGCTGAGGTTGCCCTGGGGTGGCAGGACTAGTTGGCTCCATCCCTGAGCTCGGCAGCGTGTTGCTGAGGCCAGGAGCTCTCTGGACAGGAGGGAGCTGGGAACTGTGGTTTGATTTCCACAGCCCTAGGTTTGCTGAGGTCTTGCGCTCTGACCACCTGAGGCTCGGTGGGCTGGCAGAGCTTTGTGTGGCGTGCCTGGATCCCATGAGTCCTGATTGTGGCTCTGCATGGGTTCTGAGGACCACTTGCCTGGAGGGTGTGTGCTCCTGCACCACAGACCCAGGGCTTTTAGGTTTCAGCAGGCCTGGGAAGGAAGACAAACTACCTGCTGCATGTATCCATTGCTCCTCAGACCTGCCTCCTCTCCTGCTGCCTCCTCGCCTGCTGAGGAGCTGTGGCTGGTGGTCTGTGCCAAGCCTGGGCCCTGCCTGGCCCTGCCTGCTCACCCGTGGTGTTCTGTCTCTTCCCAGTATGAGATCAGCAAGTCCCTCCTGCTTGCCAGGACGCTGCAGTTCTCGGTGTGGCACCACGACCGCTTCGGCCGCAACACGTTCCTGGGGGAGGTGGAGGTCCCGCTGGACGCCTGGAACTTCAACAGCCACCTGGAGGAGTTTCTGCCCCTACATGGCAAGGTGCTGGCCCTGCCACCCCACCCCTGCTGCCTGCAGCCTCCCGTGCCCAGCCCTGACCTCTCAGTGGGCAGAGCTGTGCAGAGACCTTGGCTGAGAGCTGCCAAAAGGCTTGTGCCAAATCAAATCCTTGGAGAAATGAAGACCCCAAAAGCAGACAGCAGTTCTGTCATAGTAAAGAAGGGCAGACTTTCTGCCCTGAGCCCAGCTTCCCTTCTCAGTAAGTCCCTTGGGTGATGCTGCAGGACTTGTCTCTGCCCTATCAGGTATTTTCATTCTGCTTACTTGATTGCTCCAAGAACACAGCTCTTCCTTGTCTCAGCTGGGAGGAACTGGAGCCAACTTCAGGGAAACAAATGGGGGGAACTGGCCCAGAGATCCTTCTGTGGATCATGGAGCCTGTGTAGTGAGGGCCTTTGTGCAGCTCGATGGCAGCAGATCTGGTTTTCTAGACTGACTGGTTCTTAATTCTGGTTCTCTAGACTAACTCGTCCTGTAGGCTCAGCCTTTGGTGTTGCTGAGGCTCGAGCAGTGTGTGGAAACCCCTAAACAAGGTTTCTTAAAGGAGCTGTTTGAACCAAAGTAGTTGATCCTAAAGGAGCTGGTCTGAGTCTGAGCTGGTGATGCCAAGGAGGGTCTGCAGGCGTTTGTGGCAGCTAAAGCACCTCCAGGAGAAGCCAAGCCCTTTGGCCCAGCATGGGGAGGGGCTGCATGCTGACCAGGGCATCGCCATGCCAGCTTTGCCCTGTCCAGCAGTGTTTGCTGAGTCTCTCCTCTTTGCAGATCGGGGCAGATGCTGCTGGTCTCCACCAGTACAAGGGGGAGCTGATCGTCTCCATGAAGTACATCCCATTTTCCAAGCACCCTGGGGCTGGGAATGGCAGGAAGGGTGAGTGTTGGAGCTGGATCTCTGTGTAGCCTGCGGGAGCGAGGTCTGGGTGGATTTCTAGGATGGTGCCACTGCAGTCTTCTCTGCAAGGCTGCTCGGGGCTGGGGCAGACCTGGCTGTCCTCAGGCTGGCCGACTGGTCCCAGTGCTTTCCTGAGGCTGCAGTGGTGGAAATTAAGGTGGACTAATTCTGGCTGTGTTCCGTTTTTCCCAGGCAAAACAGGGGAAGGTGGTGAGCTCCAGGTCTGGATCAAAGAAGCCAAGAACCTCACAGCTGCCAAATCTGGGGGGACTTCAGACAGCTTTGTCAAGGGGTGAGTGTGGGTCCCAGGCTGGGGGCAATGGAGGCCCTGTCCTCCCTGGCTGGCATCCAAGGGCACATAATGGAGGGAAGGGTTTCTCCATTAGCTGCCCCGTGCTGCCTATGTTGGTACCTTGAAAGTCACTGCCTAGAGACAAGATGCTTCTGGTGGCAAATGCTTTCCTGGGTTTTGGCTGGTTGAGAGGTTGTGATGGGAGGCTGTGTGCAGGGCAGAGCTCCAGATGCCCTGAGATTGTCTTCCTAGAGGTCACCAAGCCACCAGGCAGCATGGCTGGGGGATGAGCAGGCTCTGGTCCTTGTCCTCTCCCCTCCTTAGACTGTTTGCTGAGTGGCTTTTCAGGAGGCAGGGCAGGCACCCCATCCCTTGCAGACTGTCGTGGTCCTTCTTCCTGAACCTTATCAAGGAAGGTGGGCTCCAGGCCAGGTGCTGAGGTGCCCCAGCCCCTACGGCTGAAGGCAGCTGCACACGTGGTGCTAACCCAAGGGGCTGCTTCCCCCAGCTACCTCCTGCCACACAAAAACAAAGCCTCCAAGAGGAAGACGCCTGTGGTGAAGAAGACCCTGAACCCTCATTACAACCACACCTTTGTCTACAATGGTGTCAACCCTGAGGATCTGCAGCACATCTGCCTGGAGCTGACGGTCTGGGACCGGGAGCCACTGTCCAGCAACGACTTCCTCGGGGGTGTCCGCCTGGGGGTGGGCAACGGTGAGGAGCCCTGGGGGTCCCCTCAAACCGGGGGGACAAGCAAAGCAGCCTCGCTGGTAGCTGCCTCACTCCCAGGCAGGAGGCTGCTCTGGCAGTGACTTCTGCCCACGTCCATCCTTCCTTGCAGGCATGAGCAACGGGCAGGCTGTGGACTGGATGGACTCCAGAGGCGAGGAGCTGAACCTGTGGCAGAAGATGTGCCAGTACCCAGGCTCGTGGGCGGAGGGGACGCTCCAGCTCCGCTCCACCATGGCCAAGCTGAGGCCATAGGCAGTGGCACCAGCACCAGGACTGGGCCTGGCACCACTGCTCGGGAGCCACACTCACCACACAGCCTGGCAGGGCTGCCAAACGTGGGTTGGTTTGGGTTTTTTGCTTACACTTCAATAAACATGACCTTCTCTAAACAGGCTTGGGCAGAAAGTCTTCCTGGCCTAGCTTTGTTTAAAAGCTTTTCCTTTTGTCTTAGGCTTTGCACCATATTTCAGGCTGGAGTCTTTGTGGATCCGCCCTTCTTCCCCCCAGGCAAAATGCTTTGAAATGTGGTTGGGTTTTTTTTCTTCTCTCCAATTCTTCTTCCTCCCCACCCCTTGCATTTCACAGTGTGCTCCTTCCTTACCTTCCCAGCCCTCCTCCTTCCAGGATGCTGCTGGCTCCAGGATTGGGGTAGCCACACACTGGCTGTGGGGTGGGGATGGAGCTGTGTGGGGTCAGCTTGGGGGGACAGGGGGTAGCATTCCCCAGGAAGGATTAATTTCCCAGGCCTCTCCACAACACACCTCCTGCCAGCACCGGCTTTTAATACAAATTTATTTATTTCAGGTTAATATTCTACTGCCAGGACGGTTCCTGGGAAGGATGCCCTGTGGCTGGTGGAAGGGGAGGCAAGGGGCTGGGTGGTGATGGCGAGCCCCTGAGTCGGGCTGGGCCCTGGCTGGCTGCTGCTGGCTTGGCTGAGCCCGGGGCTGGTGCCTTTTCCTAAAGGCTTTGTGGCAGCTCTGGCAGGACCGTGGCAGCAGCACCTGCCTGGCACGGCTGACCCCAGGGTGTGAGGGAGCGGGGTCGGGGCGTGTGTGGGGTGAGGATGGTCGTGGGGCTGGTGAAGCTGCTGTGTTGGAGGCTGTTGCCCTGCCTGCCCTGCCCGCTCTCCTCTGCTCTGGCAGCTCGGTGTCTAGCTGCCCATCTCCCCGCTGCCCTGGGTTTGAGCAGAGGTGCTCTGCTGTCTCCCACCGCAGTACTGGCTGGGCTGAGCCATCCCACCCCACGGCCAGAGGCTGCTCCTGGCCGCTGGGCAGTGGGGAC